TTATATTCTTGGAGGAATTGATGATTCTAGTCTCAAACAGTCATGCCTGGAATCCATTCCACAACTTCTTGGTCAAGAAATCTGCAGAATGATGGAGCTGAAAAGACATGCATTATCTCAAACATCTATCAGAGAGCTTCATAATTGGGTATTGAAGACCTTGAAAAAACTCTACAACCAAAGGGAATTCTTTGGAGATTTAAACTTAAAGGGAAAAAATTTTGGCAGAGCCTACGGTCAATCAAATTTAAAGATCAAATGCAGACGGGTTGAAAGAAAATGTGAATGCTCAAAACTCATAAAATTTAGGAACAGAACTTTTAAAAGAAAAAACTTTTCCATGATTTTCCCTAGAAGGAGATTCTTCAGAAAAAAGTCTTCATGCAACAAGGGTCATTTTGCACAAAATTGCCCTAGCAAAAGAAAAGACAAAATTCTCAATCAAATCATTTCGACAATTCAAGTTGATCTTGATGAAGAAGATTTGGAGTCATTGTTTTCAGAGGAAGAACAACGGTCATCAGAAACTATCTTCGCCCTTGAATACCATGACAATAACAACGGCTGCGATAGTGGTAGTGAAAGCATGCAAGAATGCTTTGGGATGCAGGTCATAAACCTTTCATTGGCAGTACCAATGATTGAAATAAAACTCCTTCCAAGAAAGTATGAAAGACCTATCATAGTGGCAGCAATATTTGATACAGGTGTGGCATCCTCAATTCTTAGCCCAACGATACTCCCTGAAAACATGTGGATACCCTACACAAAAAAATTCAAGCAGCCAATAATGAGTACTTTGCCACAGAACTTATTAGTAAATCAATAACACTCCAATTCTTCCCCGAGCACAACATTTCCCATAAACTATTAGGATCATCACTACCAGGAAAAGATCTTGTCATTGGTTTTGATATTATCAAATAGTTATGGGAAAAACAAGTCAGACCTCTTCCAAATGAACTCATATTTAAATAGTATTTCCTTCCTTACATTGAACCTATAACATCTTTTACCCTTACGTTCCCAACCATAATAGAAATCCTTATAAGAGATTGTTGTGCATAATCTCACATAGAATTCCTTACCAAATGCACTAAGTCTCTTTGGAAAAACCGAGACTTCTTTATAACACTACTCTTCAAAAAGAATGAGGATGTTAATCCAACAAAAGTGATTCACATGGGAATGAGTCCTGAACATTTGGAACTTGCCACAAAGGAGTTAGTACAATTACAGTCAGAAGGACTCATAGAACCTGCTACATCTCAATGGGTGTGTCAAGCATTTCATGTTAACAAAAGAAGTGAACAAATCAGGGAGAAGTTAAGACTTGTCATTGATTATAAGCCACTAAATCATTTTCTTGTGGATGATAAGTTCTCTCTCCCAGATAGGAAGACGGTGTTTGCAAATCTGACGAAGGTAAAAGTTTTTTTCTAAGTTCGATCTGAAAGCAAGTTTCTGGCAATTGGGAGTCAAACCAGAAGAAAGGCACAAAACAACATTCTGCATACCCAATCAACATTTTCAGTGGGCAGTTACGTCTTTTGGTCTTAAGACGACACCGTCTTTATTTCAAAAGGCGATTGTTAATATTTTCTAGCCACTAGTAAAAACATCATTAATTTATATTAATATAGACTGCCCTCTATATTAATTCTCTGAGAATAAGAATATTCATGAGTTGTTGCTCCAGAAGTTCACGAAAATTGTCATAGAATATGGGATCATGTTGTCACATAAAAAAATGATCATTGCAGTGTCTGAAATTGATTTTCTTGGGATGCATATAAAAAATGAAAGCTATTCACTCCAACTACACATTGCTCAGGAACTCCTCAAGTTTTTTGATGAAAATCTGATAAAACGATAGATTCAGCAATTTCTTGATGTGGTAAACTACATGACGGATTTCTTAAAGCAACTAGTTTCTATTGTACAACCTTTACAGGACATGCTTCAGAAAAATTCTCCACAGTAGTCATCCAAGCAAACCCATGCTATCAAAAGGATCAAGCAAGACATCCCTAACCATCCAGCACTAAAAATCCCCACTGATGAGAAAAGAATTCTACAAGCAGATGCAAGTGGTTTGCACCAGGGAACAGTGCTGATAGAAGAAAAGAATGGAGAAAGGGAAATTTGTAGCTACAAGAGTGGTATATTCAAAGAATCTGAGAAAATTACCATTCTACATTCAAAAAGATTCTTGCAGTGAAACGAGGAATTGAAAATTTTCATTTTTACCTTACTAGTCACAAGTTTCTAGTTGAAATGGACATGACGCCATTTCCCCAAATGTTGAATTTAAAAAAGAAACAGATTCCAAACTCGCAACTCTTAAGATAGGCAGAATGATTTTTTCGATTTTGACTTTGAAGTCGAACACATCCCTCTTACCCGATTTACTCTCTTGAACAAAACATTATGTTCAATTATAGATCCCCTAGCATTTGTATGATGAACCCATCCACACAAAAATCTCTCATTCAAGACTTCCCTGTTGAACTTCAAACACTCATCAGAAATCGAACCCTCCACTCAAGATCAAAGGAAATCATGCTAAAATATTAGTCCATTGTTATTAGGCAAAATGGGATTCACCTTCTCGGGGGGCTTGGTTTTCATCCAAAATATCTATTTCTAAACCTCTTTTTCTTTAACCCAGATTTAATCGAAGAAAAATTTTCAAAAGAACTTTTGTATTTTATGTGGTATCTTCTTGAGATACATCAGTAATCTATTTTAATGCTGATACCATGGTTTCTTGGCTTTTAGAAAAAACTTCACAAATTTGGAAAGATTACTCAGATTACTCTTCTCACTTCAACAATGAAGTTGCAAAAGTTTTTGAATGGTTTTATCCACTCTCTCATGGAGAGATAAATTTCGAATTTTTTATTTAAAATTCAAAGATATCAGAACTTTGTCTGTTAATGTTCATGTGATCCTAGTGTTCCAAAGACGGGGTTCTTTTACTGAATCAGGATACTATGAACATCTCTCTCATGTTCGGGAATATGTGGTCCACCATTCAATCTTCACAAGGAATGCGAAAGATATCCTCAAGAATTCAGGACATTTAAGAGGAAAATGGCAGAAATTAACCAAACAATCCTTCCAGAAATTTTTCCAAAGATTGAAGATGACGCTCCATGAGAAACTCTTTCAATGGACTATGCTCAAAGGATTAAACGGAACATTTAGGCTCATATGGAGATCTTAAGCTAAATTCACAACTAGTATCCATTCATTCACCTGAAGATTATTATTTTGACAAACGTTAAAACTAATTATATTTAGGACGACCAACACAGAGCTTGGGACAGAATGCCAAATACTCAGAAAACACTCCCAAATGACAACAACTTAGATAAAAACTTTGGGAAATGTTAAATGAAAATGTTCTTACTACCACTCTTCACACTGGCTGAGAAAACCCGCATCTCGTAAGGAAAAGAGGAAAAGAAAAAGTTTTATAAGAAGGAACAAGCTCAAGTCAACAAGCGCTTGCAAGCCAGCCAGAATCCATGATATCTCAATTCCAAGAGTCCTAAGATCCATGTGATTACTCTTTTGACCATTTCAACCCTGACAACCTTGAAAAGCTTCAACAACAGCTTGAAGAAGAAAAAGAAAGAGAGAAAAAAAAAAAGAAAATATGTCATGGTGGAAAACACTAGGACTACTATCAGGCTCTGAAGATTCGTACAAACCAACTATGACAGCATATCTGGGCACTCCATAATACACAAAAATCACCAAGATCTAAAACCTTTGTCACTTTGTATGAGTTGTCTCAAATAATTGATAAAGTACTATTTACTTTTTTAAAAGTAGATTTTCCTTTATCAAAAGATGTATGTCCGTTTGTATAATAATTGTACCAGAGTACTATGGTACCGTATGCTTTATGCCCACTTGTGTAATAATTGTACCAAGAGTCCTGAACACTTTTTAAAAGTTGTGTGTCCATTTGTGTTGGTAGAAGGAAGCACTTCTTCTATAAAAAGGGCTCTCCTCCTCCATTATATGGCATCGAAAAATCAGTAATAAAATCTTGAGTTTCTTAAAAACCGCAAGTTTCTAAATTCTTTTTGTTTCTCACTGGAATCTAGCATATTAATATTAATTTTAACATTCATGGAAAGCCAACATTATGAGCAGTAACGAAAGTATGTTCTACAATTGCCTCTTTTGAGGATCCTTAGCATCAGAAATTGTACTGCAGACTTAACAATCCACCACAGAGATTTGCAATCCTAAGAGTCCGTCTCTGTATTTGTTCTATCCTAATTGGATGGTCTTTCTTTGGGCTAGAATACTTGGGTTGCATTTCTCCCTAATAAATTAACATCTCAGTCTCCATTATTAGATTGGAGGGAAGAATTAATTTCTATAGAATCTAAATCTAGGTAATTATCACCTTAATTATAACATTGAATTCAGAAGAAAGAAGAAACCAAAAATTCATTCGCTAATTATTACCTATGTCCTCGAGCATCATATACACGTGAATAGTTACTAATTTATTGGCAACAACACTTTGTGTTCTGCACATACACATTGACTCTAGGGTTGGTGAACTTTGTGCTGTGCTTGTACATTTGAAACACTCCTAAACCAATGTTTATATGGTTATTCATAGTCAAAATTTCAATTGGTTTAATAACAATAATAATATTTTTGCCATTCCAATGACGCATCCCGACGGTATTAAATGTAACTCAAAATATTTTAACTATTGTTTTCCAAATGATAAATTCTCTATGTAAAATAGACAATAAAGGGAAATATAAATTCAGATACTAATTTTAAAATAAAATTAATATGTAAAGAAAACACAGCATGCCAAAAACTCGTAATGTCATCATCACCCACTGAATTTGCAATGTTTCAAAAAAAATTTGAAAATCAAATTACTAGAAATAAATCCACATTAAATTCTACAAAAATGGTGGATTTATGATATTTCCTTTTTGATTTCCCCCTTGAAATTATGAATCAAAATTTGTTCGGCGAGATTGGCGTATAGCACAAATCACCAACTGGGCCCAATGCTTCAATCTCATCTTCATCACGTCTGGATCATCACCTTCATGTATTCAAAGCAAAAAAGGATTGATTATTAATTTTAAAAAGAAAAAGTTAACGTGAGAGGATTTCAGAATTTAAAAACACCTGGATTAAACAAAGATGAGCAGGGGCTCACGGCAGACGTTGGTGAATCGCAATTGGAAAAACCGGACGACGTAGAAGAAGAAGAAGAAGAGGAGCGAGACAGGCCATTATTCACAGCATAGTAAAATCCAAGGGCAGGAAAAGTTTTAGACAAATTGGGATCCAAATCGGGCGAATCAAAAGTGAAGCCCAAGTCGAAGCAAGCTCGGAGCTCCTCCAGATCATCATCGGTGACGCTTAGACTTTTACCATGTCGCATGCGATAATTCCTCTTGCGGTTAGTCCAGACCTCTTCACGGAGGTGGTCAGGGGACCAGGATTTATGTTTGAACAATGGGGGAGGCGCTTTGCTCCGTGGTTGTACTTCTTCCGACATCGAGACCACCGGGCGCCGCCCTTCGTGGCGGAGGGATATGATTAGAAATTTGTTTGCTGAGCAGGAATAATTTGGTGATTGGTTTTGGCCATTCGGGGGGCGGGGGTATATAAGGAAGTGGGGATTGGTGTTAGGGTGGTGGGAGGACGGGTTTGACTAGGAAATAAATTAATAAGATTTGCTGGAGTGGACGGTGGACATGGTGGATCCAAATTCTAGTATGATATTGATCCTCGAGGTCAAGTTTTCACACGGAACTATGTGTATTGAAAAGAGCCGCCAAAATTTGGTCACACTTGACAATTTTTCACCAATCATGCTACACTACAATCCCATTGCCATTCTCTAATAAGAAGACAAATATTATTCCTCTACTCTTTAGTTAAGTCAAGGTTCTTTATTCCTGATATAGGATAACTTTGATTTATTTCTCCTAATAAAAAAAAGTCAATTATACTCGTATTTATCTATATATCTTCTA